TAGTATCTAGCACTGTATTCATTACTTCCCCGTTCCTGGTTTCGCGCAACTGCGTTGCGCAGCTACTTATTCTTATTTAATATCACTTATTAACATTATTTGATTTTTCTGCAATTAAGTAATAATAAGTCATTCTACGATAATTCTATTTTTTGAACCAAAAATTTACACGTTTTTGTTTAATCTCAGCTTTTAATTCCTCTTTTCTTACCGTTATCATGTGATTAAATGTATAAGTAATAAAATTTTGCACATATGTACCTAATTGTGACCTAATTACTGATTGTAACCTGATTATATACGTATCTGATTACTTGTAAATTTTTGTACATATGTACCTGATTGTAACCTGATTATTATAAATTTTTGTGTACCTAATGGTAACCTGATATAACTTGATCACTAATCACTATGTTTCAACTGGATATTTTCGCCTACATGAGTTATTACTTTACCCATCCATAATATCTATATTATAAAATTTTTGGCCGCTTTAAAACTATGCCAGAAATCATCATAATTAAATGGAACTTCTGGTATTTTACAATAGAATTTTGTGCCCTGTTTCGAATTCATTTAGTAGATAGTTTTTAAAATCATAAAGGATTAAAACTGTAATTAGATTTTGCATCAGATACTTACTATAGAACTTTTGTAGCCAATCAATTAATTGCTTGTAATTAGTTAAAAATTAGTGATTGTAAGGAGGTTTAATTATTAATTAAATTTACAAATTTATTAAATTATTTGGTGATAGTTATTATAAATAATTTGTGATTATAATGAGATTTTTGTACTATATTTAAAACAGTTGATATTTGTTGTATGGTTTTTTTAAAGCCAATCATTATCGGTTTCAATCCCTAAGACCTCGTCAACAATATTCCATGACTTTTGCTTGATGCTTGTGGTTTCAAATTTTCACAATACAATTCCGTGTTATTAAAATTAAACAAAGATAAAGTAAGATCTGTTATATCTTCAATATTAAGTTTTTTTTCAGAAGCCATAAGTGTATTAGAATTCACTGAAGTAAAAACAGGAGTATTTTGACGCGGAATATAAGACTTGTCATTATCGAAGATGAATTTTTTTTGTCAACAATATAATCATCCCATACTTCTGATCACCAGAACTGCTTACGAATACGAATTTTTGAAATATAATAAACTAGTGCTTTGCAAAAATCAAATCAAATTTAGAAAATTAAAAATTGATTTTAAATAAGACCAGTGCATACCTGAAAATCATGTGATAAAGAGGCCAACCATATGTAAAAGTTTGCGCACACTCTTCATAGAACCATACACTCCGTTCCTCGTATAAACACGTATTAGGTAAAAAAATAACATTAATAGAAAGTTAGCCCGGGATTAAAGTTCTAACGTAACCAATATTCGAGGTCGCAATCACATTATTTTTAACTTAATAATTTATCATGTACTTTGCAAAAATCTTACATTTTTGCGATATTCTAGATCTAGACCGTTAAGAGGAAATTTTCATAGTAAATCAAAATTTAACGGCGAAACACGAAAAACTAATTTTTCGTGATTCGTCACAAAGCCCGTTAAATTTCGATTTACTACGAAAATTTCCTCTTAACGTCCTATACAATTTGATGTGCAACACAAATATGGTCGCCAACAAAATACTGTCAGAGTTCGATCCAAAACTGAAATAATTACCCATAGGTATAAATAACACTAGCGCGCGCTAGAAATTTATTATCTTTCTAACTCAACTCGCTAAAAACACAATGAAATTTATTATTGCTTTAGTTATTATTACTTTTATTACTTTAAACGTTTACTCGACGAATGCCTTACCTGTCGTTCCCCGTGAATTGGTAGAGCATATGTTAGATAAACGACAGTACGTGCCTATATTGAAAATTGTTACTTTATAATAGTTTATTCTTAAATAGTATTCTAATTAGTTTTTTATATTAAATAATATAGATCGTAAGTATAAACTTTATGTATTTAGGCCACACCAAGCAAATTATTTGTTTAACATAACATAGGTTAGCTAATATAGGAGGGGGGGAGGGATAAGAAAAAAAAATTTTATTATCATAAAAAAAAAATCTGACCAATAAAATTTCAAGATTTATGTATAATATTTGGTCAAATTTTGAAAAAATAGAGGGGGGGGGGGGGGGGGTATGTTAAACGAATAATCTGCTTGGGCAGGCCTTATTAGCATTTCTATATTGAATTATTACTTAAAGC